GGTGAAAACAACAAATCCTACACACTGTGCCTTTAAGTTTTAGGCTGAGTCATTTCTACCTTCTCCTCTCTGTCAACGCTCTCTGGTTTCATTTAAAAGAGTCGATCATCAGATATTGTCCAAGATTAACCTTCAGGGTGGATATAGCTCGCTAGCAGCCTCGCACCGAAGACCTATCCACGTCATCATTTACCCAGAATGCTTTGCTTGTAAATAAAATGGCTCCGTCCATGTTAAAACATTTTTTTAAAAATTTTACAAAACTAAACAGCTTACAGTATTTTTACAGACTTTATTTTACAGTTAAAATTAATGTTTATCAAATAAAGTCTAATGTTACAACTAATTGGGGATCCCTTTAAGGACCATTTCTTAAGAACAGAAAAACTTTTGTTCTGTATCTTGTCACACAGATTATAAAACATGCAAATTATAAACCAAAAAAGGCAGGGAGGATCAGAATATAGTGTAAAACCTTTTGTTTGGGAATGATGCACAGTGAAGAGAAAATTAGTTAATAACGCTCTGACTTCACATAGGAACATCACTCTGTGTTTAAATGAGACAAACTTTACCAACCACAGTTTAAGCTTTATATATTTTATAAATATATATTTCCACAAGCTCAGCTGACAGATGATGATGTCAAACAGCTTTTGAATTGTTTTAAATCTTTAAACTTTTTTTGAAACATGAAAGCTTCTCTTCAAATTGAAAAGTGATTTTGTTTTATTATTATTTGTTATGTCTCATACACAAAATCCAGTAGATACATAAAAAATAATTTGTGACCATCAGTCTTTTAATGCACAGGGTTAACAAGTTTTAAGATCCAATGTTTTTACATTGCATTAGTTTGTTTGAGGCTTACTTTTCAGTTAATCACTCGTCTTTTGTTTACTTGTCAGGGAGCGACAGGTGAACATAACAAGGTCAAGATACATGTTTGTTCTCTTTTCCTGTTTTTTAAATACATCTTATACATTTTTTTTCTATTACAAATGTATCTTATCATTTCAGCAGCTGATCTGAGACCCCTCATCTGAATTGTTGTAGTTTTTACACGTCTGTTCTGTGTTGAGCAGAAACTTTTTAGAGTTTAACAGCAGAGCAGAGCAATGGGCCATGGTGTTCGACTGTTGAGTCAAGCATGCAAAAGAACTGCAGTTTTGCATTTTAGTTATCAGAAACGATCATTGCTGTTTAGAAATAAATTTTTTTTTGGTAATTTAAAAACATTTAATGCATTATGACCAAAAAAAAAAACCTAATTAACAAAACAATTTGTATGAAAGGTATGAGCCCTTACCTGCTGAATGTGCAATGACAGCTGACAGAAGGGCTCTGTAGGACAGTCACAGTTTTGTGGCCCGGCTGATAACATGCAAACATCTACTGGTGTCACTGAGCAACATCATGACAGCTCCTGTTTCACATACCAGGAAG